ATTTTATCATTAAGTTAGCCTTTACCCTAAAATCTTAAAATGCTTCTATTTACATAAGACTTCCAGAATTATCATGGGGGAGATGTGCTCAATGGACATAATTCCTTCTTGAATTTCCCTTGGATAATAAAGTTTCATTTTATTTTAACTACTTGTTTCATTGATAAGATGAAGTTCTGAGAATGTTTTTGTGAGGAGTGAAAATTAAGGTTAAAGTAAAAATAAGGCCCTGCATGTTTGGAAATCCCTCAAGTATTGTGAAAATACTATATATAGTCATTATTCTAGTTTATTTAAATCCAGGTAGAAAAAAAATCCAAGTAAAATTTTCTAATTTATTGTTATACTGTCCAATTTATTCATAATGTGACTCTAGGACAGGTAATTTTAACTTTTTTTCCCCAAAAATAAATCTTTGCTTTATTGTAGAAATGAATCTACATATATTTATTTATTTACAAAGTAAATATTGAAATATCTGCATCCTTAGGTGTTTTAACGTGTGTGTGTGTGTGTGTGTAACAGTCAGCATCCTGATTGAAGAGTTTAAATTATCAAGTCAAATTATATTTTAATGCTTCCTTCACCACTTCATGGCAACAAAGCCTTAGGAAGAGTTCTTGAACTCTATACGTCATTTTTCTCACCTTTAAAATCTGAAGATTAATCATGTCTAATTTTTTAATTATTAAATTTTATTAATTTTAATGAACATTTACAGAGATTTTGGGTTTTCATTCATTTATTGTTGCACTATTTTCTCTACCCTCCTCCCCAGTTTGTTCTTCTTTTAATCATATCCAACTTAAAGATTGTTTGGAGGATAAAAGTTATCTCAATGAAATTACATGAGGTCTTATTAAGAACTTAAATATATTAAGCGTATTAGTAAATATTAATTACTAGTAAATACTTCTGTTGCTTCCTTAATGAGAAGTTTGTTTTAGAAATTAAGTCAATGAGAAAATGATACACTTTCATATTCTTAGAATCATATACTTTAGAAAGTCTTTTATGAAATTTGAATGTTGACTCTAATACAATAAGTAAATTTGTAAATCATATGATAAAATTGAGATATTTTAACAGATACTATTTAGAGGGAAACTTTGAGAGTGAAAGGAATGGTTTGTCAGTAGGCTAAAATCACTCCAGGTTGTATTAAAAACATAGCCTTTATCCTGAATCTGAAGTTAAAATTTGAAGGTAATAGAAGAGGTTAGAATTATTGTATGTTGGGTGGAAGAATGAAAGTCCGCTGTCAGAGACCTCCAAGGTACTGAAGAGCAATGATATCAGTCTGGAGACTCAGGTGCGCCTGATACAGGCCATGGTATCAGAGAGTTGGACAATGACTAGGGATAATAGAAGGAGAATTGATGCCTTTGAGCTGTAGTGTTGGAGAAGAATATTGAATATACCATGGACTGCTAAGAAAACAAACAGGTTCAACCTGGAGAGGGTGAGACCAGGCTGCTCCTTGGAGGCAAGGATTCTGAAGCTTCATCTGACATACTTTGGACTTGTTGCAAGGAGGGAACAGTGCAGGAGAGGAAGACCTTGATGAGATGGATTGCTGGAGTGACTGGAGTAATGGAAGTAGGTGTGTCAGAGACAGTAAGATTGGCACACGATAGAGCAGGGTTTAGAGCTGTTGTACATAGGGTCGCTATGAGTTGCAGGTGACTAAACAGCACATAACAACAAAAATAAGAAGGGCATATTTAAGCTCCAGTTATGTAGTTCATAGCAAGTTGCTCTTCTAACCCAAAGGCCAGAACTCTTTGTCAATTCAAGTCCACTAACAGCTCTGAGAGAGGAAGATAGACAGTCTCTGCCCATGTGATTTACAGCCCTGGAAATCCAAAGAAGGGTCAGCTACGAGTTGACTCACTGGCACTGCGTTTGAGAATTTATACACGGTATTCTTGAGCAAAGACTTTTTTTTTTTTTAATAGGATAAAAATGAAAAAAGTGCAGTCATCTCACTTACTTTGAGCACGTTGACAGGAAGGGCCAGTATTTGGAAAAAAGCATCATACTGGGAAAGTTAGAAGGTCAGCTGAAGCTAGGAAGACCCTCAATGAATGGATTGACACAGTGACTACCACAGTGGACTTGACTATGACCGAGATCATGAGGATCATATAGGAAAGGACAAGCATTCAATCTGTTGTTCATAGAGTCACTATGAGTCATCAGAGACTCTTTGAAATCGAACAGCAACAGTTGGGTGTTTAAAATAAAAGATTCTGAAGGAGTAAATAAATGGTATTAGGTATTAAGTCAGTATTACATATTCAGATTTGTTAGCATGTTTCCTAAGTTTTTTTTTTTATTTTCAACATGTTACAAAGTGGTTATAAAGATGAATATTGAGCCTTTGCCAGTAAAGATTTTTTTTAATCTAGATGAATATTTATTTCTAGAAATATCCAAGTTTAATATTCATGAGGTTGTTCTGAAGATTCACTTAAATACTATATGTTCATATAATAAAACTTGTATCTAGAATGAGATTTTTGTTGTTAGGTACTTTAAAGTTTAATATAATGCAAAGCAATCCTATAAACAAGAATAGAAGTCTTGCCATATAGTGCTCCATCTGTGTCAATCCATCTCATTGAAGGTCTTTGTCTCTTTTGCTCACCTACTTTTTTCAGCTGAAATAGACTCAGGTTAGTATTTTGGTTCTTCTTGTTGTTGATTACCTTCAAGTTGAGCACAACTTATAACAACCCCATAAACAAAAGAACTGAAGCCTCAGTAACTATCAACATTTATCCAGGTTCACAGAGTTTCCAGAGGCATGTTGTTTAGGAAGTGAATGACACTCTTGCTTCCAAATGTTGGTTCTTATGGACTTATTTTAATTTTCTTAAGCTTCAACTTGAATTTGCACATGAGAAATTGATGGTCTATTCCATAGACAGCACCTGGCCTTGTTTTTCTGGTTTTGGTTTTTTGTTTTTTTTTTAATTCATTTTAATGAAAGTTTACAGAGACTTAGGGTTTCCATTCATTCACTGTTGCACTTTTTTCCCCCGCCCACCCCCACCCCACCATTCACTCTTCTTGAAAAGTAAAAAAAAAAAAAACAAACCTCTTTCATTATTATGCAATCCCTCCCCCCAAGTCCACTCCACTGTGCAGTTTTCATTCTGGATTCCGGTCATGGCAATAATACCCAATCATATATCCCTTTTAAACAGCTCTTTCCCTCATCTGTTTCAATGCAGTATACATCATTCATTCCCTCCTTCTCTTCCTTCCCTCAACCCCAATGTCAGTCCCATTTTTCACTCAACATAATGTTTTCCAGGATCATCCATTTTGTATAATATTTCATGAGTTCCTTGTTTTTCATTCCTAGTATTCCATTGTATACCAGAGCTTCTCTATAATAAATCGTTTGTTGATGGTTACTTGGGTTGTTTCCAGCTCTTTGCTTATGTGAACAAAGCCACAATAAACATGGGTGAGGAGCCAGTAAAGATTCTTAAATAGAATCTTAAATAGAAGGAATATATTACTGTTAATTACCAAAGTACTGAAATTTTACTATTTTTGACCTATAAAACATTTCTATTCATGTAGCCTAAGAAAAGTGACGAAGAAAACAGTATCGTTTAGTGAAGTGGTTATGTAGCATAGAATTTGTTTTTAAAATTAGATTTGATCTTTGGGTCTACCATCTTTTATGCAGCAATTTTGAGTAAGATACTTTCTTTTTCTGAGCTAGTTTTCTCATATATAAAATGGAAATAATATCACAACATGGTTGTAAGAATTAAATAATGCCTAAAACTTGCTATCCATAGTACCTGAAACATAGGAAGTACTTGAAATGTTATATAGTATTATGAAATGGAGTCAGTCAAAAAGGAATCACAAGGGAAGACAGGAAGTCTAATAATTTGACTAAATTATCAGAGGCATTCACAAAAGCAATTTAAATCTGACTTCTAAAGACTTAGGCAACCTCTTAGCCAAGTTTTTCTTTGAATAATTTTAAAAAATTAAGTAGCTAAATCATTTGCTCAGTTCTGTCAGAGATGCTTCATTTTCACTACCATTCTGGATACACAGTCGGAAAGATAATCAATTACAAATAGTAATGAATTTTAAGACATTGGAGCTTGGTGTTCTCTTAGGTTTTATTTGAAAAAGACAGCAAAACTCTTGACATATTAATGCTAATTAAAAAAATATTCATAGGATTAACTATCAGAGCAAATTAGATCTGATGGTCATGTATGCAGTTAAATAGGGATATTTCAAATTTATTTGATGACTTAGTTAAACTTCCAGGAAGGGCTCTGATAAACAAGACAATAGACCAGAAAAGAAAAATTTAAGACTGTAGAGTCAGTTAGGGATCAGTAATTTTATTGAGTACCAATAATGTTGATTTCCTTTTCTTAAAGTAAAGTGAATATTAAATGAGAACTTGAAATGTACATTGATTGCTGTTTTTACAAGAACATTTTCTCTTAATTTGTTGCTATTTTGGTGCTGCAGAGTAAAGGAGTTTGGAATTAGTCCATCAGACATTCCCTTCTCACAGGGTAGTGGCAGTCGCCCTGATCTCTCTCCTTCTTACGAGTATGACGACTTTTCTCCTTCGATTACCAGGTCTACTTCATCCTATAGATAAGATATTTATTATAATAGTTTCTTTGGAATGGTGCTTGTATATAAAACATTTCATTTACTTCTTTTGTTCTGAGTCATTTTAGTTTTTCATTTTCATTTCATTTGGCAGGTGGTGGCTGCACTGCATGTCTGCATTTTTTGTACTTTAATATTTGTTATGCTCTATTGGTTTAGTGATAGACTTTGTATTTCCCTTCATATTTTTTAAGGATGATGTCACTTTTGCATATTAATCACTAATAATCACTTAAGGTTATGTTTACCTATATTTGCATAATCTTAAAATTTCTTTATCTTCCGAGAAATAATAAGTATCTTCTTAACCTAGAAAACATACCTTTTATCGAATGTATATAAATATAACAGGTAAACCTTTTTAAAATAACAGAATTTACCACCATATTATATTTAGATATTAGACATATTATTTGTAGCTGTTTTAATCATCTCACTAACAAAATTTATAAAGTTATTAAATTTCTCTTATTTTAACAATGATCTATTTATTAATCATAGTTAATATTTTTCCTGTTGTCTGTTTTCCTTGAAATAATAATTTTACTTGCTTTGCTAATTCTCATCTCTGATTGTGCACCGTAATTATACGTAAAGTAATTGTAAAGTTACAAAAGTAAATTCCAAAAATTAAACAACCAAAAAGATATTACTATATTCATAGATTTCAGGTAAATGTGACCTGTAAAGCTGACATCATCAGTCTTAGTATATTAATTCTATTGACATCATATTGAATAGGCTGATTTTTTATGTCTTATTTCTTAATATCTTTTCCATGACTTTTATGTATTTATAGAGTGAAAGAATTAACTGTGGATCCAACTTCTGCTGGTGATGTTCGTCCAATAATGCACCATCCACCAAATCAGATTGATGACTTGGAGACACAGTGGGGTGTGGGAAGTTCTCCTCAGAGAGATGATCTAAAACTTCTTTGTGAACAAAATGTGAGTGACTTTAGTATAGTTGTGGTTAGTTAATCTTCCTCGTAAGATATCCAAATCAGAAAACCCACCACCACTGACTCTATTCTGGCACATAACAACCTTTTAGGACAGAGTAGGACTTGGACTCGATGGCACATAACAACAACAACAAACAACTAGTTATCCTTCTATTTTTACAATTACTATCTTGTGCAGTATTTGTCCTAATGAGACTGAGTTCTCTTAGCATAATTCTCTAGATGCTGCCATATTAGAGAGTATTTTATGAAATCACATTCTTTAGTGCTGCATTATATTCCACTGTCTAAATGTAGCACAATTTTTAAGAGACTAGTACAACTTTTCAAAAATATATTGACTGCCAGCTACAAGTATACTAAAATACTCCCTCATTATACTAAAATAATACTCTCTCAGTATTGCTTACCTTTTCCAAAAGGATTAAAGCTTCAGTTATACTTTATTTGTAGCCTTAAAATAAAGTTAACTAGCAATTTAATGTCACATATATGCATCTTTAGTTTTTCACTAAAAAAATTTGTGGGATCAGAATGCAGAGATGTTTTATGTGTATCTTTTTAAAGAAATTAAATTGTGAATTATCAAGGAAGTCATGAAAACTATTAAGCAAAGTGTGTAGTGTAGTCATAAAACTACAGTTTCATTAAATGCTTTATTAAAATGTGTAAGTTAATCTTCCTACTGCCAATAAGAGAGCTCTGTAAGAAGTTGTGCTACATTCCCAAAGGCTTGGTGTTTGAATCCCCCAGTTACTTTGTGGGAGAAGTTCAGGCATTCTACTCTTGTGCTATTTATTAACTGCCTTTGAAAACCCATTGGAGGGTCAGCTATGAGTCGGTTCCAACTTCACAGCACCCAACAATAACTACATGAAATTATGCATTTTGGGCCAGTTAAAATAATGCTTTAAAAGCAGATCCCAAAATTTCATCAGTAGTAGACAGCTTTTCCTACTTGGTGTAAAATATGGCCATTTCATCTTTTTTTTCCCCCTCTTCCTGGATTTCTTTCTGATCCTATTGTTGAAATGGTATATGTTGAATAGATTTAGTCTTAAGTTTAGCATCTAAGGTTATAATGTCAAATATGAATATATTTTTCTTGGATAAATAATTGAAACCTCAAAGTTATGATACACATTAGGCCTTTAGGTGTGGGTCTCCCAGTTTTGAAACATATTTTACTAAGAGGAACCTCTGTTCACCTAGTGGTAAGAAGCCACAGTGC